CCATGTGCCCCTTTAGTGGTTAGGCCATGGTGGGATGTATTCACATGACAGAAGCAAAGATTACAAATCAGGGCTGCCTTCCAGAGAGCTGGTTATTAAAACTCAACCAGCACACCCTTGCCTGGACCGCACACTTCTTCCCCTTGGAATTAACAAGGCCCCCAAGTGACATTTGGGTTACCTTTGTTCTTTCTGACAAATGGACATCTGAACCCTTTGGTCATTATTGTAGCAGGCAATAACGATCCTTTCTTTTCATTCTCTGGTAAAGGCAGTGCTGCCAAGATTAGAAATCCTGGGGAAGACCAAGCAGTGAACACGTGGAGATGCAAATGGACACAAATCTTTGAGAGACTTCTCAATGTACATTCCAGGGTGGGAGCATCTGGCCTACCAAGGCCACCTCAGGAGGGATTCAAAATTCAGTAAATTGGGGCCAGTGCTGTGGCTAGTGGGCTAAGCCTCCACCTGCAGCGCCAGCATCCCATATGGGTGCCAGTTCGAGTCCCACCTGCCCACTTCCGAGCCAGCTCTCTGCTATGGCCTGAGAAGGCAACATAAGGCGGCCTAAGCCCTTGGGACCCTACACCCATGTGGGAGACCCGGAAGATGCTCCTAGTTTCTGGCTTCGGATCAGCACAGCTCTGGCTGTTTGGGGAGTGAATTAGCAGATGGAAGATTTTCTCTCTCTCTGTCTCTCTCTCTCTCTGCTTCTGTGTAACTTTGCCTTTCAAGTAAATAAAATAAATCTTAAAAAAAAAAAAAGAAATTCAGTAAACCTACAGCAGGCTGATTTTCTTCTTTCTTTTTTTAAAGATTTATTTATTTATTTATTGAGAGGTAGAGTTACAGAGAGAGGGAGAGACAGAGAGAGGGTCTTCCATTCACTGGAGCTGGGCTGATCTGAAGCCAGGAGCTTCTTTCCAGCCTCCCACACGGGTGCAGAGGCCCAAGCACTTGGGCCATTTCCCACTGCTTTCCTAGGCCATTGGCAGGGAGCTGGATCAGAAGTGGAGCAGGCGGGCGCCGCGGCTCAATAGGCTAATCCTCCACCTTGTGGTGCTAGCACACCGGGTTCTAGTCCCGGTCGGGGCACCGGATTCTGTCCTGGTTGCCCCTCTTCCAGGACAGCTCTCTGCTGTGGCCCGGGAAGGCAGTGGAGGCTGGCCCAAGTGCTTGGGCCCTGCACCCCATGGGAGAACAGGAGAAGCACCTGGCTCCTGCCATCGGATCAGCGCGGTGAGCTGGCCGCAGCGTGCCAGCTGTGGTGGCCATTGGAGGGTGAACATACGGCAAAAGGAAGACCTTTCTCTCACTCTCTCACTATCCACTCTGCCTGTCCCCCCACACCCCCCCCCCAAAAAAAGTGGATCAACTGGGACTCAAACTGGAGTCCATATGGGATGCTGGTGCCACAGGCTGAGGCTTAACCTACTACACCACAGCAGCAGCCCCCAGCAGGCTAATTTTTAAGTTGATAATTTTGTGTGACCTGTTAGTGATGCTATAAATCTCCACATGACCCTTGGCAGAAGAAAGGTTTCCCAACCCTGGCTACTCTTAACTCAACTATTTGATTCCCAGGGACTTGCCACAAATACAGTCACATAGGTACAAAGGAGTATGTGTGTACATCTGTAAATGTAGGTACACAGATGTGTCTCTAGGCCTTCACAGATCTATTTGTATGTGTGGACATATATATGTAAAGATATATTCGGCTGTATTGAAACATATTCTCTTAGACAATTTATTTAACTTCTCTGGGCAGCAATATCAAAATCTATACAATGTGTAACAACCAAAGAGTTTCTGTGAAGATGAACATATTTAAAGCAATCAGTAAGTACTGAATACATGTTTATTTATTTATTTTAGTTTTTTGAAACACACCCTGTGCCACCCTGGCAGAGAAGGGGTGGGGTGGGAGGGAGAGAGAGAGGGGGAGAGAGAGAGATATGGATCAATTGATTGACCTTCCGTTGGCTGTGTCAGCCCTCAAATACCCACAACAGCCAGGGCTGGGCCAGGCTTAAACCAGGAGGCAGGAACCGCATCCGGGTCTCCCACATGGGTGCAGGGACTCCAGCAGTCCAGGCACTCTCTGCTGCCTCCCAGGCACCGTAGCAGGAAGCCAGACTTGGACGCAGTAGCGGGACCCTAACGGGGCACTTCCACATGGGATCGAAGCTGCGGCTTCCCCTGCTGCACAACAGCAGCCCTGTGTTTCATTTTTTTAAAAAAAGTGTGCTCCCTTGGGCAGCACATATACTAAAATTGGAACAATACAGAGACGATTACCATGGCCCCTGTGCAAGGATGACACGCAAGTTCGTGAAGCGTTCCATAAAAAAAAATTGTAAAAAGATTTTATTTGAAAGAGTTACAGACAGAGAGAGGGAGAGACAGAGAGAAGGGATCCGAGGCCAGGAGCCAGGAGCTTCTTCCGGGTCTCCCACGCGGGTGCAGGGGCCCAAGCACTTGGGCCATCTTCTACTGCTTTCCCAGGCCACAGCAGAGAGCTGGATCAGAAGACTAGCAGCTGGGCCTAGAACCGGCGCCCATATGGGATGCCGGCACCACAAATGGAGACTTAGCCTACTACTCCCCAGCGCCGGCCCCCTATGTTTGATTTTTATTATTTTTCTTCTTCAAAGGGAAAATATTGGAAGAAGAGATAATGTTTTAACAATGGTAAATCCTAGTAGTATTCTGGGGTGGAGAAAACATAAGGAAGACTTTGTTTTTATACCCACATCCAGAGCTGCTAAATACGGCTGGGTTGAAACAACCGCAACCGGGGGAGGTTCTGGCACACTGGCTGAGACGCGGCTTGGGGCACCCACACCAGAGTGCCTGAGTGCTGCCACTCGCTGCTCCACTGTAGATCCCAGCTTCCCGCCAGGGCGTTACGCCTCTCTCTCTCTCTCTCTCTCTGCTTTTCAAATAAGTAAATAAAGTAAGTATTAGTGCTACAGTTTGATTTTCAGGGGTGGCTGAGGAAAGCACCATGGCGAGCGAGCAAGCCACACCTGGGACTTCTTCATTAATTTTCAGTTACCACTATTCCTTACCATTATTTATTTATTTGAGAAGCAGAGCGCCCCCATCCGCTGGCTCACTCCCCAAATGCCCGCGATGGCTGGGGCTGGGCCTGGAACTCAGTCCGGGTCTCCCACCTACGTGGGAGGACCTGAGCCACCACCTGCTGCCTCCTGGGGTGCGCCTTAGCAGGAAGCTGCAACCGGGGGTGAGCCAGCCTGCGGGGGCACCGGACACTCAGATACGAGATGCGGGCTTTCCAAGCGGTGTCTTCAACACGGCACCCACCACCCCGCCACGCACTACAGTTTAAAGTATTTCATTTCTTGGCCGAGCTCTAAGCCCACCTCGGGATCGTCAGCTTCACTCTCGTCTCAGGACTGTCCGCAGACCCTCCAAACATGGCCGCCCCCTCGCGCCTCACCGCAGAGACGCGCGGCGAGCAGGACCTTCCCAACATGGCGGCGCAGGGCGCGCGCGTCACTTCCCGCGCGGGGCCGTATATAAGGGGCAGGATTTCCGCTTTCGCTCCTTTCCGGCGGTGACGACCGACCCACGCGAACATGCCTGTGAGTTGTAGGGTCCCGGCTTCGGCGGACGTGTCGCCCTTCTGTCCGTGAGCCGCCCTCGCGCCGGCGTCGCCCCTAGCGGGTGCCCCTTCACCGCCCGCGGTCCCGGGGGGGCGCAGCGGCCCGCGGGCCCCCGCGCTGGCGGAGCGGGGAGGCGATAAGATGGCGGCCCAGCTGCGCAGACACCGGGGGCGGCGGGGGGCGTCCTCGCCGGTGTGTGGCGGGGGTTGTTTGATCGTCTGAATTCCTGCACCTCTGCCCCTTTAGCTCGCAAAGGATCTCCTGCATCCCTCTCCTGAAGAGGAGAAGAGGAAACACAAGAAGAAGCGCCTGGTGCAGAGCCCCAATTCCTACTTCATGGACGTGAAGTGCCCAGGTGAGGCGGGGCCCTGCGCCGTGCCGCGTCCTCGGAGCGGCCCGGCAGCCTCCGGTTCTTGGTTTCTAACGCTGCCCGGGAGCGTCATAACCTGCGGACGGGTCCTTCCGCGAGAACCCTGCAGACACCTTACTTGAGGGTTGGGAACACGACACTGGATTGGGAGGCATACGGGTAATTCGGGGAGAATGCTAATTCTTAAGTTTTTTTTTCCTAGGATGCTATAAAATCACCACGGTTTTCAGCCATGCACAAACGGTAGTTTTGTGCGTTGGCTGCTCCACTGTCCTCTGCCAGCCCACAGGAGGAAAAGCAAGGCTTACAGAAGGTGAGTGGCTTCCTTAGGTCTTGGGGTTTGAACCTTCTGGTGAGAGTGGTCATGTAGCAGAAGCATTTTTAGACTGACTTGGACAGAGGGTGCGATTTTTTTTAAAATAGATTTACTAGAAGCCATATGTTGATCTGAAGAGTATTGTCCACACCCGGTACGAAGGGGCGCTAAAGGGGCTTTATGTGGGCTCAGGGCAATGGGATCTAAGTGGCACGGGCACTGCAGGAGTTGGAAAATACAGATGCGTGTTTCCGGGTGGATCACTGGGCATCTGCTTTGTGGGGTGGGGGCAGTGGGGCGGGCGGGCGGGCTGAGCCAGTGACCCTCTGACCCTTTCTGCTTCCAGGATGTTCCTTCAGGAGGAAGCAGCACTGAAAGCACCCTGCGCCAAGATGAGTGGGAAACCTTCCCAATAAACACGTTTTGGATATATCCTGTTTGTTGTCTTGTTTAACTGCTAGGAAGTTGCTGCCTCAAGTATTCAGGGACAACAGAAGAGCGGAATACTAGAGTCTCTTGGGGCAAGTAAGTGGCCAAGTACTTAAAAAAAAGTCCATTGGGGACATTTTTATCCACCTAAGCTCATTAAGAGACTACGATTTAAAAAAGAAATGGAATACAATATAAACGTTTATGTTTTCTTAGTATCGAGAACTGACAGCCTTTATAACACAAACACCTATTTTAATTAAAAAATAACAAACCCAGTCTAGGGTCCTTTATTGACAGTCTGTGTGGGGCCTCGCTGTGTGCTGCTGGGCGGCCTGGCAGGGAAGGGCAGTTCCGGGGGGCCTGGCCAAGCACGGGTTAGTGCCTTATGCTCCATAACCAGTGCTGCAGCCGACTCTGGGCCAGTGGGGCTTGTTGATTGGTGAAGGGAGGAGGAGAGCACGGGGAAACGTAGGAACCTAGAAGCCAAAGGGGAGAGGGGAGGACAGGTTGAGTAAATGAAGCGTTCATAGCAACTTGGAAAGATGAGGACAGCAGCGTACCTGGCTGTGGTGTTGCTAGAGTGGGCACGTAAACCACTGGAACGGTCTGCAGCTTGTTCAGGAAGGCGTTGTATGCTGGAAAGAGGAGCAGCAGCTGTCACCAAAGGCCTGACTGCTGGAGGAAGGCTTTGCAGAGCAGCATCAGCGTGGGAAGTAACGCTGCACAGTAAGGAGTCCTCTGCGTGTGGGTTTTAGATGTGGGTTCAGCAGCAGCAGGTGGAGGCTATTGGGGGCACCATACTGAACTTGCAGACATGTCACCTGGTTCCTGAACACTGGTGTGACTGCGTCCTTACTGTTCAGTGCTAGCTATTACAAGTAGTCCAGAGATGATTTAAAGAACATGCAAGATTGTGTGCCGGTTCTGCGTAAACACACGGTTTTCTGGAAGGGACTTGAGCATCTGGGTTCTGTTGTGGAGAAGATCCTGGAGACCCAGGGAGAGCTGTAATTTCTGTGTCTGAGGGGCGGAGCCTGCTCTCATCTGCTGATTTTTTTCCCTAGTATTTGACATGGACGGGGCTGAAGCCCCGCAGGGTCAGCTGTGGAACCCAGGTGCTCTGATGAAGGCCTGGTTGTCTTAAGTGCTGGGCTCGATGCCCATCCCAACAGCTGTAATTTAACAGTAATATGTTACCATGGGGAATTTTGACTTATCCCAGTTTAACCTGTTTTAGAGTATTTTTGCCAGTTTTTGAGAAGATTGAGGGAAAACACAGGGCTGGTAATAGTGCTGTTGTATAGAACCAGCTGTGATTTTGGATGCGCTGTTAGCTTAAGGGTTAGCAGGGATGGCTGTTCTGAGGTGTCCATCACATCAGTTGATAGTGTCTTGCTAGTAAGTTGAGGACCTTGAATCTTTCAGGTGGTTGGGGCTAGGGAAGCTATCTGGTTTCAGCTGCTGAAAAGAATTGTGGTTGTACATCACGAATTGGATGAGATCTATGTCCTCATTTAGTTTTATGAGAAAATGAAGGCAGTTTGCTGGTCAGAAGTCCACGGTGGTAAATACACTCACCTAGAAAGATGAAAGCTGTTGATGCCAACATTGCGAAAAGGGTGAAGAAAAGGATCTGGTAAGAACCGATGAACCGCTTGATGACTCCGGAATCTGCACATTGTCCTATGCATGGTTCGTAACCAAATGAGATAATTATTAAATAACATACCTAGGGCATTTAAAGCGTAATCAACAGAGTAACAGAAGTACTGATAACTCAGGCCTCAGGAAATTGTTTTGCTTCTCAGCAGAGAGAAGAGACCTTCAGTGCAACTGTACTTGACTGCTCCACTTTCTGGCGTCCCAGCTCCTGAGTGATAAAATCCCCCCGACTCCTGAGCTGGCACTTCTTCCTCAGGTGTAAATCCTTTGCCACCTTTACCTCTCCTTTGCACTTTAACCCAGCCGATGGCTGATTCAGTTTATAGTTGATTGCTCTGACCTGAAACACTAGATCCGCAACACTAGATCCGCAACAGCCTCTTCAGGCCGGGGAGTCCCTGGTCTCTTCAGGATATATTTCTAGGAAGCACCCCGACCTACCGATTCTCAGGAAAATGTCAGACTCGTATCTCTGAAACATTTGCTCATGTCATTATTCAGCGCTTATAAATGAACAAACTCCAAATTGAATTTTTTCTTCCCCATACGAGCACATAACAGTATTTGTCTTGTTCGGGTTTATTTTACTTAACATACTTATGAACTCTTAGCTGGTCTCACTCCTCACTGTAATATTACTCTTCACACTATTTACAAACAACTTCACTTGGAAGAATTTGAGGTTGCCTAAAGTACACACTGGAGGGTTCTCTACACTGAGCCCTGACCAGGTCCCACTGTGTAAACCTTTGGTCTTTCTATTGTCTGAGTCGGAGTCCAAACAAAACTTGGATGGCAGATTACTAACTTTTCTAACGTTCTTGCGTGCACTGGTATGCTGATACTGAATTCTTGTCTCCCCAGTCTGGCTGTGTCTTAAATTTGATTTATGCAACAGGAACTTGCTGCATATGCCGGCAGGCCTGTGTGTGCCTCTGAAAGCTGAAGATGGGACTGGATATTTGCATCCTGTCCCTCCAGCCCACCATGCTTGTGCGCTCTCCCTGCCCCCACCTCCCCCCGCCCCCGCCTGCATTCCTCTCTACCTCTAAGAAGTTTAGGGTGCTCAATTAATTCTTTATGCCATAGGTGATTCTGGCAGCTGAGAAAATGAATCTTGGCTCAGGATGATGCTTTTAAATGCATAAAACACCTGGGAATAAAATTTGATTTACGTACAGTTAACCAAAAGAATAAGCCTAGTTTCTGACATGGTCATATTGTATAGTTAGCAAAATGTTAAGCCTAATTAGTGATCAGGAACTGGATTAAATATAATTACTAATAGCAACAAAAGTGCAGGTGCAAGTCTGGTTAATTTATCTGGGCTCTTGGTGACAAAAGGAGTGCTAACTTGGTTAACTGAAAAGTTGCAGGCTCTCCTTCCCTCCAAGTTGGGGTCCATGGACTCTACAGCCTGGCCAACAGGTGAGAGTCCATGTGGTGGGACCTGAGCATCCAGTTTCCTCAACTTCCTGGAGTAAGTGGAGTTAGAACAATGCAGGTACTGCTTAGACTTAACCAGTACATACGAGGTAGCCGTGAAAACCAAACCTTTGTTGTCAGGTGTTGTCTAGCTTTCCACCCAGTGTGCTCCCAGTAATTGAGAAATTTTGTCCCCCTTGTGGGGAAGTGGATGTGACAGTATCAGGGGAAATGGTTCTCCAGCTTTTGTAACGCCTCACATAACTGTTCCCATTACATCCAAACATAGCAATTTCTAAACTAGGTAATGGCCTGGATTCAGGGTTTCTGGAAGCTAAGTCTTGTTTAAGGGTTTTCAACATTTGTCCGTTGCCTAATGGCAAAAGAGCTGCTAAAACTTGAAAATGTCAGGAAGTTTAAAACTGGGATAAACAGTATGTTTACAAAGCTGACAAAAACATGGATTAAGTATACAATCTAGGGTTAAGAAAGCTACCTCCGGGTTCTGTTTTGGGTAGGTTTGGAAGTTAGCAATACTCCAGATAGTTTGCGTAGTCTTGGACAGGTGCTGAATGCTTCCCATTAACAAAACCGTGAGTAATACATTCTATCTTCTTTCCCCTTTAGATTAAAAATAGGAGTCCTGAATGCTCACCTGCACCAGACTTATCCTTCATAACTCTCACTACCACAGCCTCACTCTGACTGGTGAGCACGCAGGAAATATTGATGAAAACTGGTGATGCCATCTGCTGGAAGGAAGTGAAGTTGACCACTCTCACAGGGTAGATGGCCAGGCCAGGCACCAGGGGAGAGCGCCTGTGGCCAGAGACCACTAGAACTGGGGAGCTGGGGGAGACCTTGGAGGAAAAAAATAAAAAAGCACTTGTTTGAGAGAAGAATATGTTCCATTTTCAAACATAAAGGAATTATCAAGATACGGATGGCTAGCTAGTCAGCTGGCACCTCTTGATGTATTAAAAAGATCAGGGAAGAAAATGAGCTGTGTGAGTACAGTGACTGCAGAGGAATTTGAACTAGAATCCTAAGGATTGTTTTGCAGGAGGCAGTGTTGCCAGGAAGACAGTGCCCATACATTGCTGACTTGCAGCCTGTCTGGCGCTGTGAAGGGCACAGGACGGCTTCATTTGATTTAAGAGTTTCCCATGGTGATTCTTACTAGGAAACTGGTTTCTCTTTGACCCTTGGAATGAGAATGGAAAAAATATCCTATTTTCAAATCCCTGATCTCCTGTTTTAATTCCTTAACTTACCTCAAGTTTCTCAAGAACTCTGTCCACTCCCAGTACTCTTATCTCCCCAACGTCTTGTTTGTGACTTAGAACCAGTTCTGACTGGTTGATGTAAAAGGCTGGGGTGAAAGGAATGAGGATTCTTTGCATTCCATTCTTGCTCCGTTCGCTGACCAGTGTGGCCCACCCATAGACAGAGGTGTCAGCCACGCTGAGGGCCTGGAGCAGCTCCTGGGACTGCTGCCGAACCTTGATTAGGCAAACATAAACCCCTGGGAGAGAAAGGGAAAATTGAGCCAATTTAATCAGGCATAAGAAGGAAAAATGGTGTGCAAGTTCAGCAGAAGGAAATGTGAAGCCAGTGTTGAGTATTTCAAATCAGCACATTATTGGCAATTGTGAGAATACCAAAGAAAAAGACCTAGGGAAAAGCAAAGCCAAATGGTAAGTTAGTGGGTCAGGGAATGCTAAATAATAGAATATAAGGATGGCAATTCAGGACTGAGGCTGAGTAAAACAAAGTTTTATGTTGGTGACATTGGGAAAGGATTTGTGAAAGACAAGTTTGAGGGTGGTTTAAACTTATCAGATTACTTCTTGAGGTCCTTACAAGTTTGTTTTTTATTTGGAAGGCAGAATGACAGAGGTAAGTCTTCATCTGCTGGTTTACTCCAAAAACACCAGCCAAGGCTGGGCCAGACCAAAACCAGAAGCCAGGGACTCCTTCCAGGTGTCAGGAATGCGGCATCCCAAGTGATGGATTTAATTTCTGTGCCACACACCTACCCCATTTGTTAGCTATCCTTTGACATGTCTGACATCTGTTGTGAGATCACTTCATACGTGGGAGTACCACAGTGGCCCATTCCTACCCAGTCATACATTGTCACTAGATACCTAAAAACTGCATTCATCTTTTTAAAAGTTTTAAAATGTTCACTTCATTTGAAAGACATTTATCCACTGGTTCACTCCCCAGATACCTGCAAAAGCTCAGGCTGGACCAGGCTAAAGCCAGGAGCCAGGAACCAGGAATTCCATCTGGGTCTCCCATGTTAATGACAGGGGCCCAAGCAATGGAGCTGTCATCTGCTGCCTCCCCGGGCATGCAGTAGGAAGCGGATTGGAAGCAGAGGAGCTGGGACTCATCCATGTACTCCATATTGGATCCTTAACTGCTATGCCAAATGCCTGCCCCTTTGATCATATTTTTTTGGGGAAAAAGCCCAGGGTTCTGTGTTGTCTGGGACGTACTGTTTGCGTCTGGCATGCTCCCGGTCATGCGACTAAAGGTCATTTTTCTTTCTGCTCTAGCATGCCACATTTATCTCTTTAACTCCGTGCATTAAGAAAATTAATAGCTTGATTGTCTCCTTGTACCTCTAGCTCCTGTCCTGGTACCAGGTATCACATGCGGTGCCCAGCAGTTTGCAGAGTGAGCTTTCCGTTGGGGGTGGTTCAGACTGCCTGGCCTAGGAACAGAGGCTCTCCCGTGGTGTAGTACCACCCTGTGTCTGCTTTTCATTGGACCTGAATCCTTTTACATCGTTTGAGTAACCACCTATTTCTCTTCTGCACTTGTTAATAGTACTCTGGAATATCTTCCAGTTAAAACATGTAATTGCTGCTACGTGCTGGGATTAAACACGATAGAGCCTCCTAGATGTAATGGGGACTAAGTGAATTCTAGAAAAATTCTAGGCGTGTGTTAAACGTTTGTAGAATGGGTTGAACACAAATATTGAAAGATTCCATAGTTTTATACTCAAAACAGATGAAACTGGCAAGTATAAACACAGTCCAGTAGGAAAGTAACAAACAGGAAGGCAAAAGGGGGAACCAGATTCAGCTGGTGGAACCCACCTTTTTCCATGCTGAAGTCTGAATGAACATGAAAGACTTTGCTTGCAGGAATGTCTAGCAAAGTATTACTGAATTGGACGTGGCATAGCAGGAGGGTCTCTGGAAGAAGGACGTCTGTAATGGCCAAGGCCTGACTATTAGTACAGGACCCTGAAAGGCAGAACATAGATGTCATTGACAAGCATTTGTAGAAGGAGGAAACATATAGAGGCAATTTGGTATAAAAGCAACAAAGATGGTTATTTCTGGCTGGCCCTGCTGCTGTCAAGATGGAAAAATGAGTCACCCTTGCCTCTTGCCAGTTTTTGAATGACTACAGTTGGGGCTTCCATTATCAATGTCATAAATAGTGGTGTCTTTTTTGTTGCTGCTGTTAACATTTATTTGAAAGGCAGGGGGAGAGGGAGATCTTCCATCCTGTGGTTCACTTCCAATGGCTGCAATGGCCAGGGCTGGACCAGGCTGGGGCCTAGAGTTTCTTCCAAGTCTCCCACTTGGGTGGCAGGAACCATGGTACTTGGGCCCTCTTCTGCTGCTTTCCCAGGCACATTAGCAGGGAGCTGGATTGGAAGAGGAGCAAAACCAGCACCTGTATGATAATGCCATTGTCACAGACAGCAGCCTAACCTGCCACACCACAAGGTCGGCCCCAGATGGTGACCTGTTTCAAATAATTTTGGGAGTAAGATTACAGGGGAGTTGGGTAACTATTAAGAATAAAGCACTGGGGCTGACACTGTGGTGTAGCTGGTGAAGCCACTGCTTCCTGCAGGGCCAGCACCCCGTGTGGGCGCCAGTTCAAGTCTTGGCTGCTCCATTTCCGACCCAGCTCCCTGCTGATGTGCTTGAGAGCTCAGTGGAAGATGGTCTAAGTCCTGGGCCCCCGCGTTCATGTGGGAGATCC